GGACCTGCGTATTTCATCTGCAGGCCCTGATGCGTCTAAATCTACTTTGGAGGTTTTCATTGTTAATTTTGAAATTTTTTTTAACAAGTGAAATATTTAAGACATCTGTGTGGAGACCCTGTGCCACATGGCGCTTGGCTTGATCCCAGGTTGCGGCTCAGTCATGCTAACTCTTTTTCTATTTTGTTTGATGAAGACCTAAGTCAATTCCCTTTGGAGCAAATACATGATATTTCCACTAGAGGGCGGAGACGGGCTAATTTTAAACACTGAGGAGGGAGCTGTTCTTTCTGCGGAAATAATCGTCCCCCCCCCCCCCCCATACTGTGCCTGGATAAGCAACGGTGTTTCCTTTCATTTTTATTTAAATCTCTGCTCTAATGGGAGAACAAAGGACCATGTGGAACGTTTCTAGGTCAAAGGAGAAAGTCTTTAAAAGTGGCTAATTTCTTGCTTCAGGAATTCTAAATACAGCCCTGGGGTCAGAAACATTTTCAAAGAAAGACCTTGGTGATCAGAGAACTCCATCTCTTTTCTTAATTGTTGTGGAAAATGAGGCCCAGAGATAGTCCTGCTCTGCTGAGGGTTGGAGGATTTGCTAGTAGCAGACACAAAAATAGAAACGTTGCCCAGTTCTTTCCCTCGGGCTCTTTATAATACAATGGATGGGGTCAGCATTTCTATATTTATGCACAGGTACATGTACGCATATGCTTTCCTCCCTCTGAGGTTTGTGATCTCAGCTCTGGCATTAAGACACATGGTGGAGCTTTCATGTGTCCTGGTTTATTTGCTCTTAAATCCTCCCCGCCCCAGCTCCCAGAGTATGGCTAATGGACTCAGCAACGTCCAAATCTTGTAATTACTGACCAATCACCGACATACCTTGGTTTACAAAACACATCATAAACCTTCCTGTGATGTCTCCAACATTTTTATTAACGTGCACGACCTCAGTGGCTGTGTTTATTCCGCCATAGCTGAGGGTGTGTCCCGTTTCTTTAGAATAATAAGGCATTTGAGGGAGCTCTCAAATGTCACTTCTGGCTGAAGCTGGTCTGTAAGCTCTTACAAATGTGATCCATTCTGCGCTCATCTTCGAGGTAGGGAAGATTGTTTTCTGAGTCTTGACTGAAAAAAAAGCATACCCAAATCTTCTATTCTGAGATTGTTAAAAAAAGAAAAAAAAAAGCAATTAACCAATGTGTGCTCTTTGAAGCCGTGAAAGAATATTTCTTTCAACATTTTCTGTAGTCAGAACTTTCACTAAGGAGTTTCCCCTCTGTCTCTGAATAATCTGACAGCAGCCCTGGTCTATTTCCATCAGGAAAGCGCTTCGTCTAAAGTGAGCGTTAGGGTTAGTGTTAGGAAATGTGGGGATATATTTATAGGAACTGTCGTCATTCTGAGGAGGGAAGAATCAGACAAGGTACCCTTCCCCGCCGCCCCTGTAACATAGCTTGCTTCTGTTTGTGTAAACCGCTGCTTCCTGCAACAGTCGAGTGGAGACTTGCTGCACCTAAGCTGGAAAGTCCCAAATACCTGGAAGTGTTCCAAGTTTAAGAGACACTCAGATCCCAAGCTCGGAGCTCAGCCTTGGGAGGCGACTCCGCTGGGCCAGCGCCAGTGTGAATAAAACCAGTCTGTTCTGATCCTCTGTGTGCGTGTCTTCTGTCGCTTCCCGCCAGGCTCATTCTTCTGTTACATTTCTATTTTTTCCTTCCAGTTTTATTGAGATGTAATTGACACACAGGCAACGTGGAGATATATTTACAAGAACTGTGGTCATTCTATCATTTTCCTCCAGTTTTATTGAGATGTACTTGATACATAGCATGTATAAATGCAAGGTGTGTGCAGCATAACGATGTGACTTAATCCATCATGAAACGACTTCCACAGTAAGTTTAGTGAACATCCATCATCTCATATAGAGACAAAGTTAAAGAAATAGAAAAACAATTTTTCTTGTGATGAGAACTCTTAGGATTGACTCTCTTAACAACTTCCATCTCTAACATACAATGGTGTCGGTTCTGTTTATCATGTTGTGCATTACATCCCTAGTACTTATTTATCTTATACCTGGAAGTCTGTACTTTATGCTACCTTTATCCAGTTCCCCTCCCTTCAGCCCCTGTCTCTGGTAAGCGCAAATCTGATTGTGGCTATTCTTCTAATGGAAAAAATGTATCTTCTCTTGTATGTGCATAAATACAAAATAAGGAATGAAAGCTCTCTTGGCTGTAAGCAGATGTGTCATTCCCAACTGAGTGAGTCAGTTACCCTCTCTGTTTGCAAAACAAGACCGTCAGGCTGGGAGAGGACCCAAGGATCCTCCACTTACAGTGGCCATAGCTTCATAATCCTGTAATGAATGGAATTCACTTATAGCCCGAACTCCCTTATAATTTTTAGCAGGATCATAACACAGGGTGTGTTGTTTTTATATCATTTTGTTAATGTTTCAATAACTTGGGGTGATTATGGAGGGGCTATATAGTGTGATATCTTATGTGTTGATTCCTACAAAATCTTTACGTAAATTAGTCTTTTGTAAAAGAAAAAAAAAACAGCTTTAAATTCCTTAGGGGACTCTAGTGTGACATAATGTGACTAAGAAGGGAGCACTCCTCTGGCTGCCCCTCCCACACAGTGGAACCCCTAGCTTCCTCCCACCAACGCTTGAAATAATCTCATCACTGGTGTTTCCGCCGACACTCTACTGCCCCCTAGAGTCTGCTCTTTGCACAGCACCCAGCGTGATCCTGAAAAGTCACCTCCTGTTCCTCACACTCAGGGGTTTTCCTTCAAGGCTCTGGTTAGCGTTTGTCCCAAGAAAGGTCTTCCGCATTACTTGGTCTAAAATACCCTTCTTCATTCTCTTCCGTTTTGCGCTAACTCATGACTGTGTCTTCGTCTATATCCAGTATATTTACAGCCACGTCAGTAACTGTGTATCTCTGCCCGTAATTATACATTCATGTCCATGACTGCACCTCCATGCTCGTGACTGTGCCTTCATATCCATGACCACATCTGAATCCGCATCCATGTCCACATCTCCAGCTGCATCTCTGCAGCGTGTGCACGTGTACCTGCGCTTCTGCACCGGAATGTACTCCCCATGAAGGCAGGGGCTCTGTTTTTGCCGTGGCTTTAATCCCAGCCTCTAGAACAGTGCCTGGCCTATAATAGACACAAAATTAATATATGTCAGACGGACGAACGGATCTCCTGCCTGTCGGCCCCGGACTGGGCTTCGGGGTTTGGCTTTTCTAGCTCTGTGGACAAGGTACTCAACTTCGATGTGACTCTATGTTCTCACTTCTCCATCCAGGATGCCATCATTTCTCTCAAAGATCTGGTGTGAGAATGAAATTAGATCCTGTATGAAAGAGGAGCCCCAGTTCTGGCCCAGAAAAGGCACGGAGGTAAGGTTGGCTCCCTTCTTCCTCCATCTGCCTTGCTGAGCACATCTTGACGTTCAGAGGTCTCTGGGCTCAAAGGGAAACACATCTGTTAGTGTTCACTGCTGAGGCATTTTGAGTGTGGGCAAACTGAGGCTTCCCAGCTCCGGAAGGTTATAGACATAAATGCTATTTTCCGTGGGAGAGATCGCCGAAACACAGAGCTGATTTGCCCACGAGTTTAAGTGTGGTGATGGCAAATAAGTAAATAAATACATAAATAAGTAAATAAATACATTTTAAAGTCGAGAACAATGGCAGCTTATTATTTAATTTCATTCATAGACAAAAATTAAGAGTTAAGGTAACTTTTGTTACCTAAGTCACATGAGCTTAAGCATTTACCCTGTCACCCAACAGAAGAGATCGTATTTTATCAATGAAAAACTTTCAAGGCCTCCTTCCATTTGTATTTAAAACTCAAACACGTTTGCAAGAGAGAATTACCTCCCTTAGAAATAGAAGCCAATAGTCAATAATAACATTAGGCCCAAGCATCTGCTGAGAGTCTCACATGCCGTGTTGCACACATTGCTCACGTTCAGCCTATGAGTCAACTGCTCTTACAGTCTGATGCCTGGTTTGAAGGTACACAACCAGGCGGAGGTCACAGGACAAGCTAGCGGCGGAGCTGGAATCATGCTGTGTTCGTCTGCCCCTGGAGCTGCTGAGGACCCCCAGCCACTCTGCTTGGATGCCCAGGGGACAGCAAGCCAGTCCCAGTGACAGTTCAATCTAAGGATGTAAACAAATTAAGACTAAAAGTGAAAACTGAAACCCAAATATACCCAGGTTTGTGTAGCTTCCTCTTTACTGTTTACAAATGGTCCCTTTGCAAGTCATCTCCAGCCACCCTCTGAGGACTGGGTGAGACTTTGTATCACTTCACAGATGGGAGAGGGGACGTCGTATGACGTCACCGACTGCCCCAGTTAATCAGGAGTAGAGACCAGAGCTCCACCTTCCGCCTGTAGGTCTCCGTTCTTTCCACTTACCTGCCTGTCTAGGCGGAAAGCTTCTGGTCCAGAGTTAGAGTCTTATTTGTGCCTTTACAATTGTCTTCTAAGCGTCAGCGACTCTAATAGCGATTGTGAGTACACAGCTCTTAGAGAAACGCAGACACAATCCCTTCCAGCTGGAGGAGAGAGACAGATAGTAAACAGATAAACACACAAAATGTTAGTGCCACGGTGGTGTTAGTCCCACAGACAGAATGAAAAGATTGGGAGAACCATGTTGGGGAAAGGGTTGAGATTTTAAGTTGAGTGGAGCAGAGCTGCTCTGCTAAAGAGATATTTGAGCACCTGAAGGAAGTGAGAAAGCCAGCCACGTGGGTATCAGGAGAGACGGGGTTCTAGGCAGACACAACTGCAGGTGCAAAGGCCCTGAGGTGATGGGAGGGTTCTTTTTTTTTTTTTTTTGACATATAGTCAGTTACAATGTGTCAATTTCCGGTGTGCAGCATAATGTTTCTGTCATACATGTACCTACATATATTCGTTTTCAGATTATTTCTCATTATGGGTTACTATAAGGTATTGAATATAGTTCCCTGTGCTCTGCAGAAGAAATTTGGTTTTTATTCATTTTATATATAGTAGCTAATATTTGCAAATCTCAAACTCCCAATTTGGGAGATTCTTGCTGAGCACAAGGAACAGGAAGGAGGGCACTGGGGCTGCATCAGCCAGGGTGCAGATCAGTCTACCACTCCAAGGGTCCTGTTGCCTACCGAGGAAGCTGAGGCCTGGCAAGTTCAGCAAATCCCGGGCTTTGGTGCTGACCGACAGGCACGTGGAGGTGGCCACACCCACAGCAGGCTGAGAAGGAGCCCTGGAGTAGCGGGCATCAGAAACGATTCAGGCAGCAATTATTCAGTCTCAGAAAAGTCTCTCTGGAAGGACCAGTTCTGTCCTGTAAACGTGAGGAGCATTCGCTGAGGTCGGGGCCCACGGGGGGCACGTCGGTTACGAGCATTTGAGGAACGCTCATCAGGAAATGGCCATCCTTCTCCACAGACTAAAACCTTCCTGGCAGAGACCACACATTTTGATCGTACTTCCCAGAAGGTCTCAGGTTCTCTGGGTCCATGTGTATGAATTATCTTGAGTGTGGTCAGATGTCGCCAAGTCACACGAGCCTCCCTAATTAACAGGGTTCGTAAGTGCTCACTGCGCGTCAGCGCTGCGGAACCAGCTTTTCCTCTGCTTGGCTTTTGTGTAGCTCCCTTTACCACTGCGGACAATCCGTTATTTTATTGTCACGACAAGACTGTGGAGAAGCTGAGTATGAGAGACAGCGCGTCTTTCTCTCTCTTTCTCCTTTCTTTCCTTCCTTCCTTCCCTCCTTGAGGAAATGGAATGTTAAACAGTGTTTGATATGATAGAAAGAGCTGGAATCCCAGCGACCCAGGCAGCCTCCTCTGTGTGGTCTGGTCAGACCCCTCCAGACAGGGACGTCGGCACCAGGTCCGGCTGCGCTGGTGTTGGGTGGGACAGCTGGGGGCTGTGTCCGGATCTGCAGACCCTCTGTGGGGTCCCGGTGCCTCCTGAGGACACGGTGGTGATGGAGGGAGAGCTCGGAGACTGGCGTCCAGGCCGGGGAGAGTCATTAACCAGCTGCGGAAACTTGGGGAAATCAGTTTCCGTCTCTAGCCTGCCGCGGTCTCATCTGGAAAGGAGAGACGTTACGTTTCGTTGATTTAAGCGATATTCCTACGGCTGCCATCTCCTGCTGGTGCTGGTTCTGAGCGCTGTACAAACATCAGCTCGTTTAATGCTCCAGACCGCCCTCCAAGGTAGGTAAGACTGTCCCCATTGTACTGATCAGGAAACGAAGACACAGGAAGGTGAAGCAGCCTGCTCAGGCCCAGGCCGGAGCTGGCAGAGCCACTGCAAGTCCAAGCAGGCGGGCTTTTAAGTTCCCCACGCCCCTGCCTCCCAGGGCGAGGTGTGTAAGTTCCCTCCTCGCTCACGCATCTGATGAGTGTGATTTTAGGCGGTGAGATTTCAGCCTGTCTGGAACACTCCTGCTCTAATCCATTAAATCAAACTGCACGCAGGCATTTATAATCCTGCCCCTACTTGGGGCAGAGCCCCCAACAGACGCAACCACTTGCGAGCTGGCCTGGACGCTGGCTTACACCCAGGGTGGAGAATGCACCTCTGTGTGCACTGATACCCCAGTGATTCATGGTTTTAAACTCCTGGAAAACTGTAGGTGCTCACGTAGGCGGGGTGGCTGGTCCTGAGCCCCCCTCTCTTCTCAAGAGTTCACCTGCTCCCCTGAAGGTTCCAGTCACCTCTGCTTGGATGACCCCAAACTGTCATTAGGTGAAGTTAGGTTAAGAAGGGGCCACAAGCACCTCTTCTCACCTGCTCCCCCGTTTCCCACCCCCTCCCTGGAGGCTGGAACTTCCCACAGCCCCCCCCCGTACAGAGGTGGGGGCCCCTGTGTGTGAGCCCAGAACCCACCCTGAGGCCGCTGGGCTGGGGCTCCCCTCCAGCGCCTGGCTCACCACCTCTGGAGGGGCCCGTGGAAGCTCCTCTGGGGGACCTCTTGTCCCTGAGCCATTGTGTTTCCTACGTGCTCTCAGACTCCTCCCCCCCCCAGCTCGGACTCGAGCTAAACCACTTCCTCATCTCTCTCTAAGTCCATCTCAGGGGACTCAGGTCCACGGTTGGTGGCCCCTCTGTCCTCGGGGGCCTGGCTGCCTCGCCCCTGCGGTCGTGGCTCTCAGTCCTTGCTGTCCCCGACCTTCCTCCCCCGACGTGACCCTGTGTCTGTCTCCCACTCTCTGTCTGGTGTTTCCTGTCGGTGACCCTGACCCACGGAGCTGCAGTCCTCCTGTCAGTACGGGACCAACCTCCCGGAAAACGGCCTCGCCCGTTGAGAGCTCTCATCAAGTCCCTTTTCTTCGTCCATGCGTAAAAGAACTGTCCGTGCGCATATCTTCTGGGTTTGGTTTGGTTTTGCTAAAACACAGGGAAGCTTACAATGCATTTTTTTACACCTTGTTTTTCTGCTTAAAATTAGATCTTGTAATTTTTTCACACGAGACCAGAGATATCTACTTCCTGCTTTCATGTCTGTATAGTGTTTTATTATATACACAGATCGTAATTTATTTAACAGAGTCTTGACTGGTGGACAGTTGCTTCTGGTTATGAGCTGTAACAGCAGATGCTGCACATAAATGCCAGTGTGTCTGCACGTGTGTATATGTGCTTATGAATACATGTGTGTTTGCACACGTGTATACGTGTGTGAGTATGTGTGTACAACCTACATATGTTCGTGCATCTCTTTGAGTATATTTGTAGAATAAATACATGACAAAGTAACCCCTGAGGTGAGGAATACATTCATTTTATTCGTTTTTAATGTATTAAAATTGATTAATTTAGCATCCAAAAAAGTTGCGTTGATTTAGTCATAACAAAACTGTTTCATATTCCCTTTTAAATTGTTGCATGTTGGGTGGGTAAACAACCCCATCGCATCGTTTTAATTTGTATTTTTTAAATGTGAGTGAGTCTGAGGATCAGTTTGTATTTCTAAGCCTCTTGTGTTTCTTTGTCTGTCTGTTTACGTGCATCGGTGGGTGTTCTGTTGGGTCTTTGTCCTTTTAGGATTGACTCGTAAACTTTCTTTATGTTTTTAGGCATCAGTCTTATGTCATATGCATTGTAAGTATTTCCCCAGTTTTGTTTTATGCTACTTTTTTCCTGAAAATGTGTTCAATTTTTTATGTATTGAAATCTGTTCCTTAATGTCTTCTTTCTTTTGTCTTTTCTTTTCTTTTTTTTTAAGACGTTATATATTTAGAGAAGTTTTTGGTTCCCAGCAAAATTGAGAGGAAGGTACAGAGGTTTCCCATATGACCCTCCTGCCCCAACTCCAGCGCCCCCTTTATCAGCATCCTTCACCAGGTGGTCCATTTGTTACAGTGATGTACCTCCATCAGCACATCATGATCACTCCAAGTCCACGGTTTGCATCAGGCTCGCTCTTGGTGCTGCACACGCCATCGGTTTGGACAGATGTACAATACGATGTACACACACCAGCGTAGGACTGGACGGTATAGTTCCCTTGCCATAAAAATCCTCTGTACTCTGCCTACTCCTCTCCACACCTTCCACCCTAACCCCTGGCAAACACTGATCTTTTTACTGTCTCCACACATTTGCCTTTTGCAGAACGCCATGTAGCTGGACTCACAGTGTGCAGTGTTTCCACACTGGCTCCTTTCACTTGGTAACATGCACTTCCGTTTCCTCCATGTCTTTTCATGGCTTGCTAGCTCATTTCTTTTTAGTGCTGAATAATAACTCACTGTCTGGATACACCACGGTGTATTTATCCGTTCACCTACTGAAGGACATCTGGGTTGCTTCCAAGTTTTTGTGATGACTAAAGCCGCTATAAATATCTGAGCGCTTCCAATTTTCTTGTTTTGCTTTGAAAGTTTGTCTCAGTTCCAAGATAAATTTAAAAAAAATTTAGATCCTAATTTTCTTCTAGGTTGTGATTTTACTTTTTGCCCTTATTCTTTAATCCATTTGAAATTATTTTAGTGTTAGAATAGGTATTAATGTGTTTCTTCAGCTGACTTTGGACTTATTTTGATGGCAAGGGTTACATTCTGCTCTTCTTTGAAGTCTATCTAAGATGGAACAAAATGTATGGCATATATGGCACTAAGTACTCTACCTGTTAGCTGCCATGATACGTACTTGCTTTAATGAATATGTTGCCGTACCGCTAGCATGTAGGGACCATTAATGTAGTAATGACAGCTACCAATTATGTGCTGGGTAGACTCTGCAAATTTTAACCATTTTAGATCCAACAACCTTGTAAGGCCTGTTATACTGTCTCCACTTTATTGATAAGAGCATGGATGACCTCAAGATCACACATCGTCAGAGTGGCAACGCTGGGGCTCGAACACAAGTTGGTGTATCTTCAAAACACCAAGGTTCCCCACATCCACTACTGCTGCTCTCAGCGGCGAGAGGAGGTGAACGATGTGTGGAAATACGGAGTCACCTCTTTCCTGTCCACTAGCTGGAATTTACAGTTCTCACGGTTCAGTCTTCACATCAAATATTTTATTGAATTGGATTTAAACCTTTTTACCGGCTACTGAGCCCGATGAGGTAAGACTTAGTAAGTGCTGTGTGTTGGCTTCTGTCCCAGCGCAGCGGCTACAAGCACTTTGCAGTGATAATTTCCCCCTAATTGGTTGTCACTAATGCACTGCCATTCTGGAATTTGTCACTTACCGAAATGTGCCTTAGCAAATGGACCGTGCTCTCCACCTGAATGCACATTGACACACGCTGAAAGCAGCTCGGCGAGAGGCAAGCGGGATTAAGAAGAAGAAGATGACTTGCAGGATATGCTGGGTGGGCAGTAGGTGACCTAGTGGGTAGCCGCCTTCTACGAGATCTCTTTTTGGACGAGGGAGTATGGCTGGAAGAACAGGGACTGGGGATCAGGAGACTGGTGGAGAGACGGGGCTGGACCAAAGTCAGCGTTTGTCTCCAGGGTTCGTCTTCCTTCCTCAGAGACCCATTTTCTCAGAAGCAACACGGAGAGACTTGCTTGGATCTGTCGTTTCAGCCTGTGCTCTGCGGCTACTTGGGGTCATTGTGAGTAAGAAACCGGAGGGAGCCAGGAGGGGTCTGAGTCCCCTGCGCCAGCTCAACCTCACAGCCCCCTGCTTTGCCCATTTTCACATCTTACGTTTCCATGGTGAACGACATGCCGACCATCGGAAGGGAGGCTCCCCCAGGAGGGCTCCAGTGATGACATTCTGAGGTCTTACTCCTCGTATTCCATCTCCAGCAGCCCCCAGGGCGCGTGCTCCGATGAAGGTTAGCAGGACAAGCACAGCGCAGGCTGCACGTGTGGTTTCCCAGCAAATCCCACCGGCCAAGGTGAGACGGAGGTGCCAGGACGGTGGCACCAACGGGAAGCTGGTGGGAGTTACCCCGGTTGGTCTCCGCCCCAAGAGGAGCACATAAACACATGTGCGCCGGCTGCCAGACCGTCCCCCCGTGAAGGGAGTCAGTGTAGCAGAGGGTGGCTCGGGGCATCTGTGTCACCACGAAGAGCTGCCGGGCCTGGCAGGGCTGGGGACACACGGAGGCCCAGCTGCCCCAGCTGGCCGGCTCTGGGCAGTGCCGGCTGCAGCCAGGGGCAGCTTTCTTGGGCCAGGGAGACACCTGATTCTCAGAAGGGCAGGCCAGGAGCCTCGAGGAGAAGGCACACAAGACATTTCCAGGAATGGAGGTGACAAGAAGCCTTCAGATGAGGAGGCACTCTTAGCTTGCTTTCTGTTAAAGAACCAAACGATCAATGAACTTGTCTCTCTGTGTATCTCAGTCTCCCTGCCCCTGTCTCTCATCTATGTTCTACTGAGCTGTGACTTTCAGTACCCCAGGGACCTTACGGTTTCCACAACAGACACAGTAAAATTGCAGAAGAACAGTTGATGTCAGTGTGAATTCTCTTTGCCTGGGGGCCAGGCTGGAACCCACAAGCTTGGAAGAGCTGGACTTTGTAAGAGAAGCAGTTAGGGGAGAGAGAGAGGGAGAGAGAGAGAGAGAGGAGGAAGAGAGAAGAAAGGAAGGAAGGAAGGAAGGAAGGAAGGAAGGAAGGAAGGAAGGAAGGAAGGAAGGAAGAAAGAAAAAGAAAGAAAGAAAGAAAGAAAGAAAGAAAGAAAGAAAGAAAGAAAGAAAGAAAGAAAGGGAGAAAGAGAGAAAGAAAGAGAGGGAGAGAAATAGCGGAAGAACAGACGAATTCATAAAGATCCACAAGGGATCTCATTTCTGGCTTTTGCGAGCTGGTGGGAAATTAGCAAATGACTTAACCAGTCTAAATGTCATTTTGCACATCTGTTAAAAGGGGATTTCGATTAACTTTAGGTTCCGAGGGCTAATAGTGATACCTACCTTCCAAACCTGTTTTGAGGATTGTTAGAAGAGTGCTTGCCTCTCTAATATTTCCAGAACGTGCCCTGCAGGTAGCAGCTCTAGCTGTGCACAGGTGCACACCAGCTCCAAGGGCGTTACTTGCCTGTGGTGTCGCTGTGATCAGGACCGTGCTGTGTTCTGTCCCCTCTGGGCAGGCGGAACCCTCCCCCCCCCCGCACATGCTGTGCTGTGTCCGCTTGTCATGCTTGTTGAAAAGGTCAAAGGAGACCAATACACAAATTTGGAGAAAAAGTTAAAAGAGCCACTTAAGTCTGAAAAGGTAGTTTTCTTCAACTTCTTATCTCCTCTCACTTCCTTTTCCACCGAATTTCCAGCCTTTCCAGGAAGCCCTTCCCAATCAAGCAGAAGTCAGACGTTCGCGAGGGCAACCCCAGAACGCGAGGGCCACGCCGCCGCTCATTCCCTGCCTGGTTCCGGGCGCACCGCTCCACTTCCGGTCTGCACTGGCATCTCCTGTCCTGGAAGGCCGGCTTCCTGGACCTAATGGTTCTGAGTCCATTCAGTCCTGGGTAAGTTCTATGATTCTCTTCTGTCCTTCTTCAGACCACCATGGTTCCTACCCTAAAATGCAGAGGCCTGGTCTGGTAAGTCAGAGCACACGATGGATAAACGAAAAGAGGTCTTGGAAGCGGACACAGTTCTCGGCTGGCCCCTCTCGGAACCGTCCTGAAGATGCAAGACCCTGTTTCCAAGCCCACTGCAATGCCCTCAGTGACAGTTTGTGTTTTCTGTGTTGCATATTCTGCGTTTCTAACTTTCCAAATCCTCTTTCCTCTGGGCAGTGTGACCAACCTAGCCTAAGAAATTGGACTGGCTACCATTGTGGGTTCAAGAGAGACACCAGGCTCTGCTCACCATGGGCCAACTATGGACACAAATAACGTTAAGTGTTTCTGATAAAAATTCAATTTCACCTATCATATTCTTAGGATCCAAAGTTTAATTTTTTTTCTTTGAATGTCCCTCCCGCCCTTTATAAAATTTAAAAAAATTAAATTGCAGTGAAATATACACAACAGTTTACCATCCTGATCATTTATAAAGTGTGGAGTGTCCAGTATGTTCACAGTGGTATGCAACCCATCTCCAGAACTCTTTTCAACTTGCAAAACTCAGACTGTGTCCCCATTAAACAGTGACATTGATTCCTTTCTCCCCTCGGCTCCTGGAAATCCTGATTCTACTTTCTGCCTTTATGCCGAGCCCACGTCCTGATCCGGGCGAGTGGAGGGGTGTCTGTGTGGGTCTCGGACACTGAACGGGATCAGTCGTGGCTGAGCCAGCACGCCTCTTCCTCCTGCTCCCCGGTGAGGCCTCCGTAGAGTCTTGGAGAGGCTCCTTGGCCAGAAACACCAGCCAGGGGTGAGAGCTTGGAGAGCATCTTCCCCAATCCTCTGCCCTAGACTCGTAGACTTGGGGCAGATTCCCTTGAATACGCGTGAAAGGCGGCCTGTAAAAGACAGAGTGACAGGATGACTCTCTGGGCCTGGAGCCATGAAGAAGGAAAACCCACACTCACTTTTCCTAACAAGTGCCTGAGTGGGTCCAGACGTGGGTACAGAGACCCGTTCATTCATTCATTCATTCATTCATTCCCTTTGGGAGTTATTTTTAAGCGCTCACTGTGACAGGACCTAGAAATAAGTGAGTAAAAACATAAAAGACACAGCCCTGACCCCAGGAGCTGGCAAGCGGGGAGGCAGAAAGGCCAATGCTTCCTTAGAAGCAGATGGAAGAGCGGGGTTTGTGCTGCCTTGAGACTCAGACCGCGGAGCCAGGACTCTGTCCAGGAGGGGACGGGAAGACTCCTGGGCGGGGACTACTGAGTCTGAAGGAGCAGAGGCCTCAGGTGACGCAGCGCCCACATGGGGGAAGGGTGCAGCCTGTGAGGAGGCCAAGAGAGCAGACGGGAGCCGGATTCGGGGAGCCTCTGGACACTGCGCACAGGAGCACGTCCTCACCCCGGAAGAAGGACGTGAATGAGGGCTGGTGCCCGTGGATGAGCACTTCCTGCTGAGCACTAGGCGGCAGGGCAGTGATGCTCAGCACGGGCGGGCAGAGGCCCGTCGCGGGCGCGGGGGGAGCCGGCAAGGGCGGGCCGCACACACGCCCCACAGTGCAGACCGAGGGGGCTGAGTACAGACACTCTAGACCAGGCAACCACACACACATACCCCGCGACTCCACGCCCCGTCCTCAGCTTTGAAATTCGGATGTGTAGAGCAAACATTGTATCAAAAATGAAGAATATTTTCTAGTTTATATTTTCAGTCGGAAGCCCTTTGGCTCCAAGCATTGGAGGAAATGAAGGGCCGTGAGGCCGTCACCCACGTAGACCGCATGAAAATCTCATTAACTGAGAACACAAGGGACCAGACAAAGCAGATTTGGAATTAATTAGTCTGCAGTAAGTGAAGGCATTGATGAGAAATATAGGACATCTTGTTGGCTCAGAAATCCCCATTCACTATACCACTCGATGGAATGTTTCAAATAAAATGATAAATGACGATGATGTTTCCTTCATCCGGGGGCAAACGAGAGGTGGCTTGGGGAGCACATTATGCAGTTCTCGGGTATCTGCATGAGAATGAGCGGGTCCTGGCTGATCCGCGCACTTCCAGCCTGTATCCTGGTACCTATCGGTGCTGTTCTTTGGTAACTTTTTCCCTTCCCTGTGGATCCTGGGCAATCCGCTGCCTAACCAGACGTCCCACATTTTGTTCTAAATTAATTGATTCTTGAAGATTCAGTGTTACGTTCTTTTCCACTCTAAGATCTTCCTTTCTTCTTTCAGCCTGGCTCATACTCATCAGAAGGAAGAGGCGTGGCTTCTTCACCATGTGTTTTCAAGGACCTTCAGCTTTGTCTTCCATTTCCATCTCCGAGGCTCCCACGATGCTGGCCGCCTTGGCAGCCCCCGCAGCGCGGCTCATGGTGCATTTTGGTTGCCGTTTCGTGACTCAGTGTCGTGAGTTTCTCTCTTCGGACTGTCCTTCTAGAATCAGCAGGAAGAAGGAGAAGGTGACCAAGGCAGAATGGAAGGTGGTTGAACTTCTCTCTTTTTTTAAAAACACACAGGGATTGAAGAAATCTGAATAAGTGTGGAGGGTCAGGGCAAAGTCACTGAGGGAAAGAACAAGATAGGAGGTTTAAAGAAAGAGCAGAGGGATGAAGCAACGCCCTTAAAGTGGTGGAGACAGGGCGGGGTCAGAGTTCAGCTAGGAGGTGGGCGGGAGGGGTTCGGCTGGATGGGAAAGGTGTCCACTGTGTCCCACTGTTGAAAATTTAGCGGGAAAAGCCCCTCCCTCTCCAGCCCAGGGAAAAGCTGGGGAGGGTGTCCCATGGCAGAACACAGAGCCTGTTTGGAGAGGCACTAACCCAAAGCAAGAAAATAAGCAAAAATTTAAATAATTTTAAATGTCCAAAAGAGGGTGCATGAGAAATTAATTCAATGATAAATTGTCCTGGATTTTAAAATAAGATAAAGAAATATCAGCCTGACACAATTTATTTTTTTCTGAGCAATGATTTTTTTGTTGTTGTTCCTTCTGTCCCGACAAAATGGAACAGAGTGGACACCTTTCCCATCCAGCCAGATCCCTCCAGCATCCTCTCTCCCCCGCGTTTCTGCATCAGCGCGTGCGAACAGTCCCCAGGGGCGTTGCACTGTCCGTGCAGCAGCACCTGGGCAGCTCTGAAGTCCTCCACTCTGCAGAGTCCTCTGGGCTCCTTGAATATGAACAGGTTGTTTTCTGAACAAACCATTAGGAAACCTGGGCGGACAAGTTTACTTATGGGACAAAGGGGCAGACCATTTATAATTATGGGGTCTCCTGAGAAATCCTGAAATCTGGATGGATGGAGCAGAGCAACCTGCCCTCTGGAGGGAAGTGGGCTCCACACTTGGAAAACAGGCCAAGCTTGGCTGCGGGAAGCTCTCAGACAACGCCAAGGACACGGGCAAGAGGCAAGCTTCCTGCTACGTGCCAGATCCCGTAGGAGGAGCTTGTGTCTGTTAGCTGGTCTTCCTAAAACCATGGTATAGATATGATCATCTTCACGTGGAACTGGTAATTTCGCGTCTCTCTGGGATGGTTTGCCAAAACACCCACGGCCAGCAAAGGGTGCCACGTAATTCTAACCCAGCTGAGACAAGTTATGAAGCCAGCTCCTGTCCCACATGCCGGGACGTGTCCAGTCATCCCGACCCCTCTCCTGGTCCACGTCATCCCTTCTAGGGACTAGTGGCCTGATTCCAGTAAGAATAGGATTCAGATCGCTCAGCCTCGTCACAGCCAGATCGTTGACTCCTCCTGCCTTTGTCACCTGGGATCTCATCTGGAGTTCTGTCTCCAGATTTCCCTGACTTTGGGTCTGTGCTTTATCCTCTCCCTCAACTCTCTCTTATACCAGAGGACACATTTGCCTTCTTGGATCTGATGCTCTCTGACCCACCTCCATTAAGGTCTGAGCTCACCCTGGGGGCCTCTGGCTCCTGCTGACCCAGCCTGGTCCTGGGACCCAGCCTGTCACTGGACATCTTGACCCCCTGCACCTCCTCATCCTCCACCATACAGGATTCTGTGGTGTCGAGTGGCAGTTGGGTGTGCAGTGGGATTCCTCCAGGAGACACCTAGAAGAGGAAGAAGGTGAACTCAGAGCAGCCAGAGCTGTGCCTCAGGCCCCGAGGTCATGCACTGGCCATGGAGTGAGAGGAGAGGAGGTCTGTCACACGGTCCCCCCTGGGTAGCCTGCAGGAGGGTCCTCACCCTTACTGGGAAGGAGCCTGAGGCAGCTGGGCTGCAGAGTCTGCCTTTACTGGCTGCTGGACCCAGTGTTCCACATGGTCACCCACTGTCCTAGTCAGAGGCTGTCTGATATCTGACCTGCCCTTGTGGGCTGACTGTCCCGGCAGAGCCAGTGAGGTTATGAATGGCTCATGTCAAATCTGACCTCTTAAGTGCTGACTTCCAGCCTTTGTCATGTGCTTTGTAGAAGCAGAGCAGACCAGCTATTTCAGACTATGCCAATAAAATTGCTCATAGAGTGAAAGAACCACTGGCCTTTTTTGACTTACATCAACGCACAATGCTGTTTGTCAAATGGGCTTGGAGGTTCTCCCTTTGAAATTCCAAGCTGTAAATAAGACAGGCATCTTTGCCTAGGGGGTGCCCGCCTCCCTACACCCATTTTGATAAAGAGTCTAGTAAAATCAATGAGGTGGAAACTGACGGCCTGAGAAGAGTGAGGAAGGGTTTGACTTAACCTTGGCATATGTTGGATCAGGGGCTCTGAGGTGGCGAGGTAGAGGTGTTCTGATAGCTGTTTGTAACTAGCTGTTAAGTTATTCTTTTACGAAAAATATAGGGAGTACCCATGCTCTCTGTGGCTCCAAAGGGAAGAACTGAATCTCATGTTTGTGCAGTGGAGGGTACACGTTTCAGCTCCCTGTAAGCTCCATTTAGCGATGGAGAGCTCTATCTTGAAGTGACTTACCTACCACTGGATGGTCACGGCACGAGTACATAATGGGCTGTTGTGTTTGTATAAGAGGAACCCAAATGTCACTTTGAGATCCTATGACCATCTTCTAGACACATTCAACAGAAGCAAAAAGGACAAAAGGCAACGTGTGAGAAGGTATATTTCACTTTGTTTCCCCACAATTTTTATCAAGGAAAGCAGAACCACTCCGAGTAAGAAGAAAACAAAATTGAAAAAATATATATATAATGAATAAATTCATACCATAAATAAAAATGTAAAGTCTTCCATAATCTCATCACTGTCACATGACAACTTTTTCATTGCTCTGTATTCACAGAAAACATATAATTTTCAGGGTTTGTGATTTTTGCACAGTTGTAATCATGGTGCATAGAAGGTTGAATAAAAATCAAGTGTTTTGAGCTTCTCTTCAAATGATTAGGACTAGAAGCACTCTTTAGTCTTACTTTATGTGGGAATTAATAATACTAGATAGCATACTATTTATTAATAGATGTATATCAATAGTAGGCTTTTGTACACACCGTTATGAATAAATAACTTGCTTATTTCCTGCTGGCAATTCTTTTTGGTCTCATGTTACTTACTGCATATTTTTATAAACCAGGGGTCCATGGCCGGGCCTCAGGGGGACTGCAAACCATTAAATTACATATAAAAGTTTGCAGGATTGTCGGTGTGCTGTTTTTTTCTCTGGGGGAAAGACTGGGGTGTTTTCACCAGTCTCTCAAAGGTATGGAGGACCCCTTAAGCACCACTGCATCGGGAAGGAAGTCCAAGCTTCTTGGTACCTTTTAGGACGGACACCCGCCCCTCTCCCCCCGACTCCCCCCCCCCCCCCACCCCCGAGCGCCTCGCTCACGCCTGCTTTTATTTCTCATCTCCACTCCCCTTCCTCTGGCACCTGGGGCTACCGCCTTGGCAAAATTCTCTGTTCCCACGGAAGGTTAATCTCTTCATGGGAGGCATGCTTCATGCCCTTTAAACAAGCTGCTGCCTCTGCCTCGCAGACGCTTCCTCTGCTGAGATGCCGTCCTCACCTTCCCCAGGTAGAGGGCGGCTCTGCCTCGGCACCCCCAGGGGACCCGTTTGTGGGGCTCGGGTGGGTTCTGATCCTAGCGGGGCCACCCGGAATCTCCCACAGGGCGCTACGGGCTCCAGCTGCAGAATCAGTGTCGGCGGAAGAGAGCGCTGAGGCACCCAGACAGCCTGCGTGCCCCG